TCTTACCCTAGCTGCTAATCTGACTTTCTTCTTTCTAGTTAACTGTCATACCTGTGCCATTGGATGTTCCCCGAAGAAGAGGATGCCCTGCCCATCATTTGATTGGTACATGGCAACTACCTTTCTGTTCCTCAACCTGTGAGGAGCTCTCTTTAGAAACTTCACGGACATCTTCCTTCCATGAACTAAACTCACCGCTACTGTTTGGGCTTAAAGTTTAGTTTATTTTGACCTGTAAAGAGTAAATGAAGATATGGCATTTTATGGTGTGTGCTTCCGATAATGCAAATAGTGGCTTTCTGGGTCAGGTTTTTGCTATATTCAGGAAAGAATATTAGCGTGTCATAACCTACTGATATCATCTTACTTGATGAGTTATTGATGCTCAGCAGCAAGTGGTAACTCAATATCTAGTAGCAGCTATAACATTACAGCCTAAGGGTCAAATATTAAATACATGACATTTTCTGTTTTCTGGGAAATTCAGTTAGGAGTTCCACCTGGAGTGCAGGGCTTTGAATGGCATTCCTCTTTGAAATGCATCCACAAATATTGTGATCCTGATGTTTACATTAAGGGTAGGATGACAGGCCTGGAGGGATGTCTAAGTGGCTCAGAGTGCTTACTGTTATTGCAGGGAACCCAGGTTAGGTTCCCAGCACCCACATGAAGGCTCACAAGCACATGAAAACTAGTCCCAGGAGATCCAATGTCCTCTTCTGCAACTATGGGTGCTTGTGCACATGGGGTTCACATAAACTCATGCAGGCACACAGAGCACCACATAAAATAAATGAATGTGCAAGGTATTATAAGATAATAGTTCCCAAGACTCTGTTCTTCCCTACTACAAAAGACGATTATGGTCACCTGGTAGAGGAAGGGCTAAGCTCTATTTTAGAGAATGTTCCATCTGGTTCTGTCATGTACATGACTCTCTGTTTCCTTCTCCCTGGTGGCAAATTTATAATAACAGCTGTGTGTGCTTGTTGTCTCCCAAATAGTTTCACAGTTCCAAGACAGAAGCATGCTTTAATTGGCAATGTATGTTCACGTTAGGTTGGACTCTTTATGCTGTTATGGTTTACCTATCTATCCCATTGACAGGATTCTTTAAAATTCTGTAGACACCAGCAACGACTCCTTACTTTGCAGGTTTCCAGCTTTAAAATCCTTCACGTCCTTGTGTGATCGCCATGTTCCCAGGCCCTGATCTCTGCATTCTGTAGACTTAGCTCCCTAGGTGCAGTCCTGACAGCAAAGACACAGCTGCTGGAAGTGCAGGGAACCTCGCGATGTCAGGAACTTGCTTCTGAGTCCTTATTTTGAAACTGATGGGCCACAGTTCCTCACTTTGAGACAAAAATAGGCCTTAATCCTTAACCTTTACTGTTCTATTGCTAGGATATGTTTTTTAAAAAAAATCACATATGAGTTGGAAACTTGAGAGAACTCTTACAATTAAGGATCCATACTCGATTAATATGTAGGGCATATTTGAGACTACCCCCATTGCTTTGTACATGGCAGGCAAGCTCAAAACTATGGAGCTACATAACCGGCCCTAGCATTGGAAAAGCCAAAAGGGTCAGCTTCCTTATGAGCACTTTTCAGCACAGTGGGCACTAACATGTAATGGTCTGAAAATTCTAGACTCGTTCTTTGGCTTTGCCATAGCTATGTAGCTTTTGGTAGTACTGGACTCTCCAAAGTGTCATTTTCCTTAAAGGAAAAGGCAGCTGGAAAAGTTCCTTTACAGCTCATTGTGGGGAGATGGGAACCGATGCATGTGAAACGTTTAGCAGTGACAGGCATAGAGAAGGACTGAGTATGAACTGTCACTGTGAACACATTCTGTAGAAGAGCTGCTGTACCAAAAGATTCTGCATGCCAAGCAATCTGACCATCATTTATGGAAGCCATGCATCTATGCTGATGCCTTAGCTCATGTGAGGACTTGTGTATTTCCTTTATTTCACACTAGAAAACTTGCAGGTTAGCTGTAACCATTAATTCAACCAACACTGTCTGCCCCAGGAAACTTGTCCTAACTTCCAAACCAAGTGAAATGCTTATCATGTACTACCACCCCACACAGCTTCCCGACAAGTCTAGAAACTATGGCTTAGTGAGGGTAGGGATGGTATGTAATTAAAATATTAAGTAGCTTGGAAGTGATAATGCTTGCCTTTAATCCCAACACATGGGAGGCAGAGGTAGGCGGATCTCTGTGAGTTCAAGGCCAGCCTGGTCTACAGATCGAGTTCCAGGAGAGCCAGAGCAACATAGTAAGACAGTGTCTCAAAAAACAAAAATCAAAAAACAAGTGTGTTTGTTAGTAAATCTTTTCTTTACAGACATTCCTCGGAAGGTGGAAACCTCTCTCTCTTTTTCTGGGTCTCTTCTCTCTCTCTCTCTCTCTCTCTCTCTCTCTCTCTCTCTCTCTCTCTCTCTCTCTCTCTCCCCTTTCCTCTCTCCCTCTCTCTCCCCCCCTCTCTCTATCTCTCTGTGTGTCTTCTCTCTTATTATTATATATACTTTTAATTTTGAGACTCACCATGTAGCCCAAGTTGGTCTTGAGCTTGAGGTCTTCCTGTCTCAACCACCTGAAAGCTAGGAAGTCCAGTATGTACCACTGTATCCATCTACTTCTTCCTTATCTTTTTCTGATTAAGAGTTCAAGCTATGGGACTAGATAAATTACATTTTAACTGCTTTTATGGTGTAGCTTTGCCTCTTGAGTTTTCCTTTTATTATTGGTTTATTTATTTTGAAAAGTTATCTTATTTAGTCCAAGATGACTTTGAACTCTGTATGTAACAAAGGCTGGTCTTGAACTCCTGGTCCTTCTGCCTTGACTTCTGAAGGGCTGGGATTCTGTATATGCCCTACCATGTTTAACTGTGTCATCTTACATGCCTTCATGATGCAATTTTGGCCTATGGTGCTACTGTAAGATGAAAGAGCCTTTGGGGGGCTATGGAAGGAAGCTAGACACCAGAGGTGTATTGAAGGGTGTATTGAGATCTGGTTCCTTACCTGGTTCTGCATGCCCAGAAGGTTTTGTTTTTGTTTTATAATGTGTTCCCAAAATGCTGTCGTATTCTTATGGCAGGAATATAAAGTGACACACTTAAGATCTCAACGCCATAAGTATGTAAGATGGAACCTATATCTCAATCACCAGATCTTAGGTTTTAAATTTCGGTAGCATGTTAAGGTCTAAAGATAATCTTTTTGATTCTATCTTAAGATTTACATACACATATATGGACATGCAGCTGCTTAGGATGTAGGTCTACAGGCATACCCACTTTTCTCACTATAAACTCACGTATGCTCATTGTGGAAAGACCAGCAAGAGGAAAAAGAAAACACATGTCATCACATAGGGACAGGCTATTGGACTTGCAAACCTTTGCTGTGAGACAGATTCCGCTTGATGCCACCATGTCATAGCCTCGTTTGTAATCACGTGTCATGTTTTATTTCTTTATACATGAAGTCTTCATACATTCAAAGAGGTTGCTAAGTCCTTGCCAGTGGGACCAATGTTGGGCTTGCCAATTCCTGCTTCCCCATTTGCCTCTCCTGTGATTTCAGATCCCTGAAATTCCTTCATTTCCCTCTTTCCAAAGTATCTTTCCTTCTCACGTATTCCAAGTGAAGAAAAGACAGAGAGTGTAGCTGGGAAACTAAATGTCTTCCCTTTTGCAATTGTGTGACCCTGAGTAGGCACTGTCATCCCTCTGGGCATTGACTTCGTCATCCATAAAAGAAATGTTTGACTCGGTTTTACGGGTTTTGTTTATTTTAGTTTTGTTTTTGAAACAAGGTCTCACTCTGTAGCCCAGGCTGGCCTGGAATTCACTGTGTAGATCATCTGACCTTGGACTTCCAGGATTGCTATATGCTGGGATTGCAGCAATGTGCTACTACATTTGACTCAAGTAACTTAATTTGTATTTTTTACTCATTTACTTTTTGTTTGTTTGTTTGTTTGTTTTGTTTTGTTTTTCAAGACAGGGTTTCTCTGTATTGTTTTGGAGGCCATTCTGGAACTCGCTCTGTAGCCCAGGCTGGCTTTAACTCACAGAGATCCGGCTGCCTCTGTCTCCTGAGTGCTGGGATTAAAGGCATGTGTCACCAACGCCTGGCTACGTATTTGCTTTTATGTTTTTGATACAGGCTGGCCTAGAACTTAGTATGTAATGCTGTCTTCCTTTGAGTTCCATTGCCCCCCTGTGCCCACCACCTAATGCTGGGATTACAGGTATTGTGTCTTCATCTCAATTCCTCTGAACTCATCAAGGATCCCATTAATAAGTTAGCTCATATCAGAGTATAAACGCCAGTGACCCAGACTTTCAGAAGACATTGTATTATGAAGATTTTTTAGTAACTTTCCTGTTTCTGTCATGAAATTCCATGACCTAAAGCCACTTAGGGAAAAAATAGTTCATTGTGGCTTGTGGTTCCAGAGAAGGTGTCCATCCGAGTTGGGAAGGCATTGCGGCAGGCAACCGAAGCAGGGAGCTGGCTGGTCACATATCTAATCACATGACAGCAGAGAATGTGAATACAAGCGGGATGAGGCTGTAACCCTTCAAAGTCAACTTCAGACAGCAAGGCTGCACCTCCTAAAGGCCAGAAGCACGGCAAACTTGGCCACCAAACAGGGAGCAGGTGTTCAGCTTGCTTAGGGTGAATCTGTTTCGGGGGAGGGCATTCCTCATCCAATCTATCACAAAAGGTGATCTCAGCTCTGAGAAATGCACCCACACATTTATTCATTCTTTTATATATTCTTCCCAGAGATATTTTCTAAGACTGGTAAATAGTTGTCTGGCACCCTAAGGTTCCATTGTAATGAGAATACGCACTAACCAAAGTGCGGTAACAGGGAATACATTAGTAGCATTTTAAAAGTATAGAACTCAGCTCTGGCAAGGAAAAGTCCCTTGGAGGGATCTTGAATCACAGCTACGAAGGACACACGGTTTATTCAGCCTTACAAGAATTTTTATTTACTGAGCTTCATTGTCATATTCCAATCACCAATATAATTTATAACTTTTCTTATGTCATTTTTAAATATCATTAGATGGCTCTCTTTTGTTACTCTCCCACAGATGATCTTGAAATCAATCGTGCCTTACTGGTAACTCATTCCATACTCTTACTCTATGGGTCTGATTTAACAAGCTACGACAGGATGGATGCAGATCTCTGCGCACTGAGCAAATGCAATCTTGCTACAACAGGATGGATGCAGGTCTCTGTGCACTGAGCAAATGCAATCTTGCTACACTAAGCACCTCTCAGTCGCTTCCTTCACACTCGTCAGGAAATTCATTACGTCAGTACCCCCAGTCCCTCTGTTTTCCTCTGACCCAGAGTCGCCCCTGAGCTTCTGCGAAGGTTTCACAATATACGTCCTGACTATGCCGAGGTGGAATCTTCTCAGAGAGACCAGCCCGTTCACACACGCGTTATATGCTATCTTCAGGTCTTCATCACCGTGTGAAATGACAAACTCACGGAGCGAGGGACCGGACTCTAACGAGCAAAGGAAGTCGCGGTGGGCTGGAGGCATGTACTCTCTCATTTCCTGGAGGAATTCCGCAGGAGATCCTACATCAAGATGAAGACAGATAAAGGGGTTGGGGAGAAAGGAGAGAAAGGGGGTCAAGGCCAGGCAGGCTGTGTAACCATTATCCATATTCACTGTGGGGGATTGGAAACAAGACCTCCCAAAATGGCTTGCTACTTGCTGCTAGCATCGGCTATTAATGAAGACAGAATAAGCAAATCAGTCCTAATAAAGTGTTTTCCCTGTGTTTGCTTTGCCTTCCTTCTCTCTTGCTCCCCTTCTTTCCCTCTCTATTACTCCTCCTCTCCTTGATTTATTTGGTTCTGCTGGACAGGATCTCACTATTTAGCTCAGGATGCCTTTGAATTTGCCAGACTTCTTCAACATCCTGAATGCTGGGATTATAGATGGGCAACATCACAACTGGCTCTTGCCTTCTTTCTTTTCTGTCATATTGGATCCCTCTGAGAGGCTGCTGGTACAAAAAGGGACTGTATAATCTACCCTTAGTCAATCATGATGCCCGACCAAAGGGATTAAGTTATCTTTTTAAAAACATGCTTGAGTTTCACCTAGCACAGGGTGTTTTTTTCTGTTTGCTAAGCCTAAGAAAACACAAAAGTGGGAGGATTTTTTCTTTCTCTCCTTTGAAGCCTCCAGAAGAAAACATTCAACCCATGCAGTCGTTGGGTGCAAGCCATACTCTGGGCTGCCAGGCTGCAGGGTGTTGCACACCAGGCCAGTGGCAGCCCTTGGTTGTCACCGAGGTCACTGCTTTGCAGCTTCTGCTCACAGATGTGTCTCATTTTCAGAGCGCATGACCCTGGCTATGGTTATGTGTCAGCTCTCAGTACAGAGAATGATGAACCTGGGTTTGAGCTTTGGCTCATCTGTGAAATGGGGCAAGAGTCCCTGACGCACCAGACACATTCAGGAGAGAGTCTGTTGGGGAGGATCCTTAACCTGCTTTAAGATCTAATCCTGTTAGTAGTAAGAAAATGCATGCTGTCATCTCCACCTACCTTCACCAGTCTCATGCTCTATTCCCAGAAGGATGTCGAGGCACTGAAAGATGCTGCTCTGGCCGGCGCTGCCCCCTGAAAACTTTTTTGGGGTGTCCCAGACCCCCTCATACAGCAGACCCTCTGACATCTTGGGGTTGCCTTTCCAACTAGAATTAATTATCAGATAAAAAAATCTTACATTAGAGGTGATTCTTCCACACACCCTCTGTCACGCATTTTCATGCATGAAAATAATAAATAGCAGAGTTCCGAGAAAGTTTGACATACTTTCTGAGTGGAACCTCGCTTCACCCTAGTTTAGGTCATTTTCTCCCTTTGCTCTGAGTCATTTTCCCACCCCTGTTCCAGGGACTCCCTGGTCAATAGTTACCAGAGAACACAGGCTGAGCTTTCTATGCAACATGGATATAGATGTTAGCATACAAATTATTATTTCAATCCAAAGAACAGTAGAGGCCAGAAATTAGGATCTGGTCTGTTCTTTGCATGAATTGAGGAAATAAATTCAAGCCTCAGACTACATACCCAGACAAATATATGCGCAGAACACTGAAAAACTTGTTTGGATCCACGAACTCTGTGAAGAAAAAAATGGAGGTATTTACTAAATAGCATCAGAGGTATGCAATGAATTCAAACAAACTGTAAACAACTATCATACTACAGTAAAGATACCAGGCAGACCCACAAAGTGTCTGTGGGCAAGCACCTCTTTGCTCTGTCTTCTCGTGGAGAAACCTACTCATCACTTCACCTGTACCCCGAATTGGGTCTGCTAAGGGACCAACTAGCCTCACATACAAGACACAATCATCCAAATGAAACAGTCAGCATTGCACAGCAACACTCTGTGTGCTTCCTGACACAGCGGACACAACGCTTGCAAAGACAAACCAGGACTGGACATGGAACTCAGTGGGAGTGTGCTTTCTTAGAAAGTATGGGCTCTGGACTCCATCACGGGCAGCGTAGACACACACACACACACACACACACACACACAGCACACACAATATGCAAGCACAGTCACAGACACACAGGTGCACACACACACACACACACATATGCAGTAGCCCATGGGATCCACGCATGGGTCTTCCTAACCTTACTTCCATTTGATTAGAAGGGTTTCTCCCTCAATAGCCCAGCAGCAGCAGCTTCAAACTCACAAACAAAACCTCTCTTGTTAAACTGAGGCAAGAAGGCAGAATTCCTTCCCAAAGTACTCTTTTGTACTTCCTGGGTTTTATAGTTTCTCCGGTAGTTTTGAAGCAATTCTTTTCTCTGTTACCCCATAGCGAATTTTTGAAAAAGCAGAGTTAATTCAGATCGGAGCCTAGGCTTTTCAACACTTTAATTGCGTCAGCATTCAACAGGTTTCTTCATGGATTTTGACAGACAAGGAAGTTCCTCTGCGTTAAAGATACCCCGGTTGGAATTCTGGGTTCTCTGTTTACTGCCAGTGGTGTCACCTTATCTCTTTGACTTTAGATTTCCTTTCCTGAGAAAGGAAATAATGAGACCTACTCCACAAAAGCATAATGATGCAGCCAGGTGGGCAGGCGCTCAGCAATGGGTGCCTTGCGCCTCCTTTTTAAAACACCTCTTTGCTTCAGATACCGGACACACATGACTGTGAGCCCAGAATATGTACTGCCAACGATACTTACCTGGCATCCTCCTAAAATAATCCCTGGCATTCTCCAGACTGGTAGCTATATCACCCAATGCCCTTGCCAACGTTTTCTGGTCTTGATTCTGTACTGCACTGAATACAGTGGGGATCGCCTTAAAAATAAGATTTAAAAAATTAGAGCTATGTAAGATCTAGAGGCAAACGCAGGTACAGGATAACCCTATCTTATTCAGCAAATCAAGTTAATGTTTCCATTTCTACCTCTTGACTGTACATGAATGTTTATGAATTTGTATACACCTGTTGGGTGCACAAGCTTGTGCTTGTGCCCACGTGGAGGCCAGAGGTTAACATCCAGAATCACTAAGAACCGCTCATGGCTTATGAGAGAGGACCTCTTATCAGCCTGGAGCTTACTAATTAGGCTTGCTGGCTGGCCAGAGAGCCCAGGATCTGCCTATCTGCACCTCCAGCCTTTGCAAGGGCATCCGGACATGCTCAGGTTTTTCATGCGAATTCGGGAGACCAGACTCAGGTTTCATGCTTACAAACCAAATGCTTTACCCACTGAGTCATCTCCCCAGCCCTCTGCATTTCTCTTTCTGGTCAGAACAATTGGACTTACAACACTGTATGTATATTAATGACAAATCCCTTTGAAGATTTTTTATTTCTTGCTGGAATCTCATTCTAAATCTGATTCTAAATGCATAGCCCTTAGATTTTATATTTCAGGGAGATGTATGAAAATAAATATTTGTTTTTTAGTAAAGGATGTATTTCCTTCAATTTTATGATCAGGGTAAAGTCAACCATGCAATTGTAATTGAGTTGCTGCATAGTTGCTCTGCTTACGTAAAATGGGAAGGAAACAGCTAAGAGAGAACAGACATACTTGGATTGCAGGAGAAGCTGCGATTTCCACCAATAGAGATACAAGGAAGAAGCCTTTACCGCAGTTCCCACCGGGAAATGAGAACAGAATGTCCATGTTGCTGAGAAAACAAGTCACGGTTGGCAAACAAGTCAGGAAAACCAATGGTGCATTTGTAGAGCAACATACTTCCCAATATTTTTATACATTTTCGTTTCAAAAAGAATTGTGCCAGAGTTGTTTACTCTCTCTAATGCATATCTGAGAGTACTAAAAGTTAGGTATATTGGGTGCATTGCCTAAAGATCATATGTAATTAAGGTCATGCTCACACTTGGAATTTAATTCCAGAACACAGACCTAGAAACCCCATAATAAGTCTGTTTTCATAAATTGCACAGGCATGCATGTTGTCATAAATATATGCTGAAAGTCCTGAGTTCTATTCCCAGTAAACCCTGCCCATCCAGCCCCCCTCCTCCACCCCTATCTGGCACACACACAAGACTGGCTAGATTCTGTTTTTCTTTTCTACTGAAGTTTTGGCATTGTTGCAACTCTGTCTTCACAATGTGTGTGTCTATGAGTTTTGAAGTGCTTAGATTCCTGGGTTCTAAAGCTTGGCCATGATGATGCTTGTCTGCTGTGGGACCCTGTTTTAAAAAGCTCTTATTTAAAGATACTGTTTAAACTCTTGGCCATCACCAATAAAGGCCTATGGAACCACCACCTCCCTTTTCCCCACAGAATTATTTTTTTCAGTCATTATTTATGGTGTTGTGAGCTAGAGGCCTGCTGTTGTGATAATACTATGAAACACTCATGCCTCCAAGACCTTCACACTCACTGTGTCTTAGGCTATAAACACTAGCCCTCCCCTCCAGCATTTTCTGGACTCCCCCTTTCAGTCTTCTGTTAGAGGAGTGCTTGTAGCACTTTATCTTTTATAAATTTATTTCTATGTATTTAGCCTAACTTCATCTAGGTGAGATTACACTTGTGTCATATATGTTTTAGTTCCCCAACTTTTAATTAAGTTTAGTACATAGATCAAAACCGGTAATAATTGGGTGAAAAAGAGTGACATAGACTAATAGGTGATATTATTAGTTACTTCTAGTCACAAATGTTATAGGGTCACACACATAGAGACATGTATTTTTTGTACCTGTCCATATTAATTTCATACATGTAGATGCAAATAGCAGCTTTGCAAGTTGAATCATATCAATAGATTCAACTAAGGGCTGGATTATTTGCCTTTTAAATAATTATTTTAATTACCGTCTTCTTAAACTCAATCATTTTGAATATCCCCGTCATCCTACATTCAGTTTAGAGGGCAAGTAATTCTTAGAATAAAATAAAAACCAAATACTTACTCATATGTCCTAGGCCTGAAGAGAGAAGCCACAAAACAATGTGCCAATTGGAAGAGAGAAAAAAAAAAACAGTTATAAAACAAGGTGAATCTGAGTATTGGTTCATACACTGTGATCTATTAGTGTTGAGATACAGGTTTAACGGAGGAAAAACATGTTTTGTTGTTGATATATATATATATATATATATATATATATATATATATAAACCTTCTTAATGCTGAGACCCTTCAATATAGTTCTTCATGTTGTGGTGACCCCCAACCATAAAATTGCTTTCATTGCTACTTCATAACTGTAATTTTGCTACCATTGTGAATCATAATGTAAATATCTGATATGACAAGATAACTGATAGTGACTCCAAAAGGGGTCGCAACCCACAGGTTGACAAGCTCTGAGTTGTACATTAATAAAAAAATACACATGAAGAATTATTTGTTACTATGAAGGAACATTCTAGAAAAAAAATATCTTTGCATTTTTGAGGCACTCCCGTGGGCTGACTCCTTCTCACAGGTACAAGTTACAGCCACTGGGGCTGCTAGCCCCTTGTTTTTTGTTGCAGGTCCCATCACTAGCTGACTTCTGAGCAGACGACCCTGAAAGCCCACAGGTAGCTGCTTCTCCAACTGAGCATGTGTTCATTCTTAAATGTAACTGTCTATCAAGAAGTTAGGTTTGTGGAATCTCAAAAACACTTTAATGAAAGGAAACCACACATTAAGAAGTTCGTATTTGATATTTGAGCTGGCAAGTAGTTTTAGAAGAGCCAATACTCATTGAGAAGATGTCACCACCAGACTGTCCTGTGGGCAAGCTTTTCTAGATTGATGATTGATGGGGGGCCGCTCAGTGTGGGTAGTGCCACCCTCTGAGCTGGTGGTCACAGTGCTATGAAGAAAGTTGGCTGAACAAGCCACAGAGAGCAAGCTTGGAAGCAGTGTTCCTCGTGGCTTCTGCTCCAGGTCCTGCCTCAAGATCTGCCCCCACCTTGATGGAATTATGAGGTGAGATAAAACATTCCCTCTCCAAGTTGCTCTTAGTCATGGAGTTTTATGACAGCAATAGAAGTCCTAACTAAGACAATGGCTTTACTGATCTGAAATACAACTCGCTGGATATACAAGTGTATACAAGTGTAGACAAGTATACACTTGTGATCCTAGAGCCCAGTTGACTGATGCAGGAGGACAACTAATTCAAGGACACTTGGGGCTACGGAGCAAGACACTGTCAAAAAATGGAACAAATGAAACAAAGCAAGAAAAATGAATTAAAACATCTCAAATACCAACTAACTTTTTAATACAAAACCAACTAAATTAAAAGGCATGCCTATTATTATTCTCCGTGTGCATGATATGGGGGCACACGTACCATGGTGCACATGCAGAGGTCAGAGGGAAATTTTGTGGAGCCAATTCTTTGCGTCCTCTACTTGTGTCCCAGGGGTTAAACTTAGACTGACAAGGCTGTGCAAGTACCCTTGCCTGCTGAGCCATCTTGATAGACCCCAAACCAATAAACACTATTTAGAATGTATTTTTATGCAGGAGAAGGAATTGAATAAAGAGAAGCGTGAAGGCATTTTCTGAGGTGACATACACACTCCTAAAGCTGCCTTCAGGTGGTGGTTGTATGAGGTGTGTCCATAATAGTCACACTGAACATGGAGGCTCTCTGGATTTTCCTGTAAGTATCCAGATACTGCTCTCCTGCTCATATAAGACATTCGTAATTACAGACACAACAGTCTTAGAAACCCTACCAAACAACAGAAGCTGTGCTGCCCCAAATTAAGGAATAAGTATTCTGCATTAATAGCATGCGTTCCAAGCCCTGTTCTGCTCATAGTTACATACCCATTGGGATCCTTTTTCTTCCAGTTCGCCAGGACACAGTCTGCATAAGACAGAATGGGAGGCAGCCCCAGCTTCTCTGAGAGTTTACAGTAGGGAACAGCGATATTTCTGGGCAGCACCTGATTAAAACAGCTCAATTTCAGCCACAGAAACATCTTACCTTTTCTTCTCATCTCACCGCTAAAACTCATCCTGGAGCATACACAGCACTTGGAAGCCAGTGTGTAATTTTTCTCTCCCATGTTTCAAAATGTAACCCTGGTGACTGTTCATGTTTGGGATGCAGGGTTGTTGAGGGCATAATTTGGCCACAGACATGGAAAAAAGACAAGGAGACTAAAGGTTTTATTTTCTAATGACCCTGGGCTATTTTCACTCTGCTCTTCACCCATCCATCCCATGAGACACCATGTTAGCTATTGGTAACAAAAAAGGGAAAGTCAGATGTCTCTGGATTTCAAGGGATGTGACTCATGTGAGAAATGCAAGTAGACTCCTGTCTCGGAGCACACCGAAGAGTGGAGCACTCCTGGACACCCCTACCCCATATGTGCGTGCGTGCGTGCGTGCGTGCGTGTGTGTGTGTGTGTGTGTGTGTGTGTGTGTGTGTTCTGCTTTCAGTAAATGTCACTATACTAGGCATATGCCAGGCATATTAATGCAGTCATTCTATCCCACTACTTGGAAAGATAGTGCAGGAGAATTGAGAGTTCAAGACTAGCCCAGGATACAGAATGAGTTCCAGATTAGTCTGTGCTACACAGTGAGACTGTATGTGTGTGGTGTGTGTGTGCATGACTGTCTCAATACACAAAACAACAACAACAACTCACAAGTTGTGCCATCTAGCGTTCCTTTAAACTGTATGGATGTGACTGTTGATTCCGATGGGAGGTACAAAGGTTAGAACAGCATAGTCTGGACATCTCTGGGAGGGTGTTTCCAAAGATTAACTAAGCCAGGAAGATGCGCCCTGATTGTGGACAGAAGGGTCTACTAGGCAGCAGCCCCAGGTGGAATATTGGGGAAACAGCAGAAAGTCTAGAGCACAGGAGTCCCTGTCTCCGTTACCTGGTCACCATGAGATGGTACTCCCACCACATGAGGCCAAGTGACTATGGAAGGAAGACTCTGAAGCCATGAACTGAATAAATACTTCTTTCTCTCCCTTAAGTTGCTTTGAGAGGTGTTTCGTTGGTGAAGAGAACACTGGTTTTCCCCATGAGTGGTGCATCCTCCTTGCAGACTCTTAGTTCCCTGCTGTCCAAGCTGAATTCTCCCAGTGGTTTTGTTAACTCCACTACATTTGCCTGGCTTAAAGTCATTTGGTTTAGAACCAGATGGTCCCACACAGCAATTAAAGTAATCATCACAATGACTCACAGCTGGGGTGTGCACATATAACACAGGGGGGGGTGAGGTAAGGGACCCAAAGGCCACCATGGACAGAGCAGACACTCTAGCAGCATAAAGTCATCATTGTAACACACTGACAGTGTGACAGTCAGCCGGTGCTGACACTGTTTTGAGAAATCATGACTTCAGGTTAGCTCAAAATATTTGTGGGTGGGTTTTACCAAGAGAGCAAAATCAGAAACACTGTTCATCATATCACACCTACGCCTGCTGTGAACCCGGAAACACTTTAGTTGCAGCTAGTCATACATATTTCAAAAGGAAATACATGTTCTCCATCAGAGGTTTGCAGACATGGGACCAGAGGGGAACCGGGAAGAATTCAGTAAAATCATCTGATCTCACTTGGGAAAAGCAGAGGGAGCATCCTAACACTTAACCTATTACAGCCAGCTTTGCAGAAGTGGAGAAAGTCAGAATGCTGACTTACATTCCATTATTTATTTTCACTTTGAAACAAATCCCTTGCTTTCAATAAGTTGTATATTTCTAATGCCAGAATTTAAAAGTGCAATAAGGTCATGATAAATTAAAACGTGTTTTACTTCATCTTTCTTTCCTAATTCTGACTTTCCAACTGAGTCTAATAAACATGTTTTGTGGCTTTGTTGTTGTTGTTTTTAATGATGCTAAGACCATGATGGTCTCCTCTACATGCAAACTTTTAAAATGTAGCTCAGTGTAGCCCAACACACATACTCGAGGTCCCAGGCTAGCGTTGGAGAGTAGCAACTCCCCGGCATCACTAGTAATGATAATCATACAGTTCTAATATTTAACTTTTTGCAGTACTGGGGTTCAAACCTAGGACCGTCCACATGCCGGGCAAAATCTCTATAGCTGATTTGTATTCCAAGCCCTCTAAAGCTTTTACATTTAGTGTAAACTGGAATTCATTTTCATGCTAAAGAAAGTCCAACATGAGAAATACTCCCCCCCCCCCAAAATCTCCAAACCTTTCGAATATCACTATTTCCTCGGTTCCACACATACGCCATGGTGATGTACCCCAGAGCCAAATGTGCCAGGCGCTGCAACCTATGTCCTCTCAGCTCATCAATGTTGAGTACTGGCAGCTGAGAATAGATGGAGACATTTGACTAACATCAGTCCTGGGAATGTTGTGGGTTTTAGACCCAAGGTTAATATGTGAAGAAACCACACAGAAACACCATGACACTGTTTTACAAACCTTCTCAACTTCTTCTCGAAGCTTCCCATTGTCAATCAGTTCAGGAAGGTTACTAGCAATGCGGGTCCAGGCACTGAATGTCTGAGGCAGTTCCGTCTTGAAAGGGAAACAAGACCAGCATGTTTGAATTGCTCCTGGAGTGGCATGAGTTTTCCTGTGGATGGTCTATCTTGCCTTTGGTTCCACTGGTGTCCCAGCAAGCACCAGCCAGGTGTTGCCGCCTGACCAGTGCAAGGGCAGAGGCCCATGCCCTTTCCTGTTCCAGCACTCCCATTCACGTCTTCCAAATCCACGACAATTCTACCCAAGCCCTCCTCACTACTCCATCCTACCCCAGTCCCCTCTCCATGAATCCCATGGGCTATGCCTCTTTACACCGAGTCACTTATTTTCTGATATTTTTTCTTTCAGGCATATTCTTTGAATGGAAAAGAAACTGAGATGGCATTGAAGTCACCAGTAAATTAGGCACCACACTCAGCTTCACATATGTTTCTGGTATCCTGCAATGACCCAAGAAGTGGTCTCCCTGTCACACATTTAAAAATCCACCTGCCACTTATTTTGTGTGTAATTGATTTGTAGCTCCAACACGCATTTCCAGTTTTCAGAGTCAAAAACCTAATACATCTTTTGCAGGGTCTGGCATATTACTGGACTCTGAGTGCCTGTTCCGTACTAAGTAGGCAGCAGTCAGGGCTGTTGCTATAACTTTTGCAGTCTGAGGTGGGACAAAGAACTAGGATACAGTCTGTGTATGTCCATGTGTGTGCATGTGTGTGTGTGTGCATGTGTGTGGATGAATGTGTGTTCGTGTGTGTAGGTGTGTGCATGTGTGTGGATGAATGTGTGTATATGTGTGCATGTGAGTGCGTAAGTGTGTGTGTGTGTGTGTGTGTGTGTGTGTGTGTAGGTGAGAAGTCAACCTCAGGCGTGTTGTTCACCTTACTTTTGAAGCTGGGCCCCTCTATCCTGGAGCCCACTAATTAGGTTAGGCTGGCTGGCCAGCAAGCCCCAGGGACCCACTGGAGTTTTGAGCGCACACCACCTCACCAGCTTTTTGTTTTTAGTGTCGCTCCTGGAGATTGGATTCATGTTCTTATGCATCATGGCACTGTCTGAGCCATCTTCCTAACCTATGAACTGTCTTTTTCCCATCACAATTTCTGAAAGATATTTTCTCAGCATAAATGTTAACAATCTCAACATGTGGTTGCTTTCTTTCTTTAATCCAGAATAGTCACCTCATCACAATTGGCGGGTTCTCACACTCCTCTGACACAGGCTGTGCGTGTGCTTTAGGGGAGCTTGAACACAAGTACCCCCGATCCTGGGAACATCAGCTGCCAAGCTGCCACCGCAGGTAGGGGAGAGCAAGGAAATTGAAGCCGTTCACCGGGCGGGACTACTGTTTGCGTGGTGTCGACTTCCTCCACCACAGGTTATTTTCACCCACACCCACAAATGAAAATGAAATTCAAATAGAGAGCTCTCCTAAATCTCACATTTACAATCACACATCGACAACGAACCCTACAGATACAGGCAATGTCCCGAAATGGATTCCAGAACTCTAAACCACACCCTCGTGGAGTCCTGGTGCCGGCTCCCTCTGGCTGCTTCCCACTACTCCAGCGGTTTCTCAACTCGTGGGTCGCGAGCCCTTGCGGGATCGCTGGACCTTTTAACAAGGGTTGCTTAAGACCATCGAAAAACACAGATCTTTACATTACGATTCATAACAGCAGCAAAATTACAGTTACGAAGTAGCAACGAAAATAATGTTATGGTTGGGGATCACTGCAACGTGAGAAAGGGTAGCAGCGTTAGGAAGGTGGAGGAGAAACACTGCGCTAGACCCTGAGGTGGCCAATACTCACACAGTGACTCGGCACATGGAGACCTCAACACTAGGTACGCCAGGGCACCCAAGGATGCAGGCTCCAGGGCGTCTCTTGCATGGGTACCAGGCTTGGAGCCCACAGGCGTGTGAGCCCCGGCTGCGTGCTTGACCATAGTACCGCCCTCGAGGCTAGAAGCCGCCTGATTGGATAGGAGCTTCTCTCGGGGTGCTCCTCCTGGGCGCTCCGCGGGGTGCATGCTCTAGAAAGCCTAGAAAGCCCCAGACCAGGCAAGCTGATACAGGCTCCTAGCCACCTCTAACTCTGCAGGGTTCCAATGCTTCGCCTGCCTAGGAACCGCCTTGGTTTTCCATATCTTATCTCAGTCTCCAGCCCACTGACACAAGATCTGTGCTGTCCTGGCTCCGTGCTCCTCCTGGTTGGATCCCTCCCAGTGTCACTCAAACTCAAAAAGCGGCTGTTTACTCCGGTTCTTAGTGGGACTAGGAGAGCTCAAGCCACCTCTACAGGACTATCTTGCCTCCAACCTATTCTCCGTAAGTTCTCATAATGAAAATGTTGGCGATAAACTGGTATGCGTGGCGTTCTTTACAATCCAATTTAGTGACAGAGTTTTTGTTTGTTCTGTAGGTTTTTGGGTTTGTTTTGTTTGAGACAGTCTGTCTCTAATTTGAGGTCATCCTCCTGCTTCTGTTTCCCGGGTGCTGGAATTATACTTGTGCACCACCGTACCTGGTTGAGATGCGTGGTGTTTTAAGATGATTATATCCCTCACCACACACACAAACACACACTGCACTTCGAGGCTAAAACTTGCACAAAAGCACAATCGAGGTAGTTTAGACCCTCCCTTGAATTATGCTTGGCAAACGATAAGCATTATTGATACTAAACGAAAGTTATTGGTATGCTGTCTCATGTATGGAAATTAGTGAGGAACACAGGCTCTGTACATTTGATATAGTTCAGAAGAGGAGGAGAATTCCCACGACTTGGGCCATTTGACTGTTGCCTTTGAAAAGGTGGTTGTTACAAAACCATTTCCCCCCTACAAGCGCTGTTCCTTTATGAAGTTAAAAGACTTCCCATGCTCTCCTTCTTTCGTTACTTGACATTTCTATGCTAGGGCAGTAAGGAGCACAAACATGACTGAATTTGGAAGGACAGACATTGAAGGACAAGGGAGCTCCCTTGTTTGTACCCTGGCTCCAAGTTCGATAGTTCTTTGTGCATTTGTTCCTCAGAAGGTGAGAGGAGGCAGGGTTGCTGTCTCAGAAATTCACCTGTCAAGATAAACAATGAGGATATAATGAGGATAAAACAGTTTTCATTTAGATCTCTCTTACCAGTGGGTGTGGCAGCGCAAAGCCTACATCTTCATTTATGTGGTATTCTTCAAGGGTCTTCCTAGAACCTTCAGTGGGAGACATGTGCGCCATTGCTGTCCACTCCACTGACCCCTTGGCCACTGAAGGAGCTCCCAAGCATCTCTTTATAGACACAGTTGGGCCAATCCCCACAGCTGACGCGTAGGCAGGGAGAAGTGACTTCCACTTGAGACAGTTTCATTTTCTATTTTATGTATTTGTAATTTGACAAACAATAAAACCCACAAAGCAAATCTATTCATCATATGAAGAAATTAAACATTTGCATTTCTTATCATACTTACCTTTAACGTCGTCAACTATTGGCTATGATGTCCCTGGGGCTTCCAGTACACATTATGGTGACTGAGTACTCACAGCCTTGGAAATGCCTCCACCCTACCCGTTACTTGGGTGGCCACCTGCTACCCCAGCAGAATCAGGAATCCAAGCCACAAAGGGCACAACTGAAATGGCAGCAACTGTGAAGACAGGTGACCCGGAGAGAGCGCTTTACTTTGGAGAACTTTTCAGAGTTTGAGTTTAAAACGAAGGACATCGTGACAGCTGTGGTCCAAACTACCAATAGTTATCTGTTACCGGTTTTCATATACACTTCACGGGTCTTTAAAAATGTCAGTGTCACGCCTCAGTTACCCTCCCAGTTACCTGGGAGACAGGTTAGCTGGTGTCTGAAGCAACAGGAAACAAAAGTATAGGCAAAGCAAATCTGTACACAGACCGTCCTCCTAGTGGTCTTACCTAGATGCCTGTGTTATGGCTAATGGAGGGCTTAACGTCTTCACATGACTAGTGAGTCAGTTTTTGGAGCGTCATTCACCTTTTTTCTATGGTATGTGGCTTCCAGGGCAAATGTATGATGAGGGAGCAGCTCTGCACATCTGGAAGTCGTCTAGTGTGTCCAGAACGAAAGCAAAAGTTCAAATAATGAAAAATGTTTCTCACAATACAAAATTGAGACTATCTGGTAAAGGTTTATATAGTACACCTAAGTTTATGTCCACTTTGATACCATGTTTTTTGTCTTGTTTTGTGGGTTTCTTATTTTTATTTTATTTTTTTCAATTTTTAAGATAGGGACTCATGATTTCCAGAAATGTATAAGGATGACACCAACTGGCAAACTGAGCAATAGTGGAGAGGCTACTTTAAATGCCCCTCCCTGATTATGAGTTTGATGACTACCTTATATATGCCATCCAGTGGCCACCATTTCATCCAGTGGCTAATGGAAGCAGAGACAGATACCCACAGCTAGACACTGAACTGAACTCCTGGAACGCAGTAACAGAGAGAGGAGTGATGAGCAAAGGGTTCAAGACTAGGCTGGTGAAACCCACAGAGACAGCTGACCTGAACAAGGGGGAACTCATGGACCTCAGACTGATGGCTGAGAGGCCATCATGAGACCCCTAAATTTGGGTGTCAGTGAGGAGGCCTCAGCAATCTATGGGACCTTGGGTAGTAAGTAGATCAGTACCCCTGGCATACAAATGGTCTTTGGGAGCCCATTCCACATCGAGGGATGCTGTCTCAGCCTGAACACATGAGGGAGGGCCTAGGCCCTGCCCTGGATGAAATGACAGACTCTGGAGATCCCCCAAGGAGGGTTTCACCATCCCTGGAGAGGTGAGTAGGAATTGGGTGGGGGCGGGGGGGGGGGGCTGGTGGGAGACAGGGAGGAGGAGAGGGAGAGGGAGCTTGGATTGACATGTGAAGCAAGCTTGTTTCTAATTTAAATAAAAAATACCATAAAAATAAAAAAATATAGGGCCTCACTCTGTAAAGCTATTGGTTTTTGTTTTGTTTGTTTTGTTTTTTGTTTTTGTGAAATACTGAACCAAAAGAAGAAACCACATTGTTCTTTTTGATGATCAGAAGAAAAAGAAAAGTACACTAAAAGACAATGCAGGCTTATCATGCAGGCCATTAGCTCTTGGGGCAAATTAATGAACCAAGATTCTGGAACATTCTAGAACAACTCTGATATCATTAGCCTGTGAGGGCTTTTCTTTGAACAGATGGCTTTTACAAGAATATGTGCTCATTAAAAAAAAAGTCAGGAAAAATCGAAACCAAAAATAACACAGCAAGGAGAACACAATGGTGGTGTTTCTGTAAACTAAATGTTTCACAAGGGTGATTCACTTGGAACCATGTCCAAGGCGGGTCATGAAGTCTTATTATATCTTCCAAGTATGACGCAAGGTAATATTTTTACATTGAGTCCTATCATTTCTACTAGACAAAAGATTCTAACACATTATTGACAACTGGAAAATATGTTAGTCTAAACATGGAATGAAGTTCTAGAAATTCTGACTTGGAAAAAAAATATCTCAGGGGAAGTTCTAAAGAGTCCTGGCTAGCAAGGTTTGTTTTTCACCCTGCTTACCCAGGTGCCTCCATCCCCTCTGATGTCACACACACAAGCTGCATCCATTTCCTTATGCTTTGTGTCACGCCCTCCAGGTGCTACCCATTTCATACATCTAAAACTATGCTGTATCAACCCTGTCTTCTTGATTTCTGGAACTACGGTCTTGACTCTTTGCCTTGATTTTTCCTCCTGCTGAAAGTGGCTGGTGTCTGGCTTCTAAACAGCATCTTAGTCCTCTGCTCTCACAGACTCTTTTCTTCCTCTTGAGGTTTTCCCGTAACCTCATCATCTGGGAGCCTTAGCCATACAGCTTCCTACAGGTCAGTCATGTATGACTCTGCCTTCCTCATTAATGTCACTCGTTTGACAACTTGGGTGTTTCTCTATCATGGTTATATTTCCTGCTTGGACCTCTAAGCTATACAATTCATTCCCAGTCGCTTTATCAACACTGCCATGTGGAGATCCCTCGTCTTGTGCCACTGTGGCTGTCACTGGCTCCAGACACAAAGACTTAAAAGGGAATCGGCTGGGCATGGCAGCATCTACTCAGAACTCAGGCTTGGGAGTTCCAGACAGGTAGATCAAAAGTTCAAGGCCAGACTGTACTATATCATAAGGCAATTAGTTAACCAATGAATCAAAATGAAAGATCTATCAGAAAACTTATCCAGGGTTATGCTAGACTAAACTTATTCCTTCTTAATACATGAGTCTCTGAAATGCATCCTGTTTCCTCTTTAACATTGCTATTAATTTATAAAATATGTTTATTTTTTAAATAAAAGGATTCTTAGTTAAAAATAAAGGGATCTAGGACACACAAGTAAGAAGAATTAAAAAATTGAAACATCAATTTTTTAATATTCTAATATTTAAAAGATTATTTAACATATTTTATGCACATTTATATCACCCTGAAAATTTAGTGTCAGGGATTTTCTAAAAACTTTATTGGAAGTGAGACATCTGACCTTCACAGATATCTACTTGGGAAATTTTCTGGACATTTATGGAAGGGAATTCCTAAGATTCAGAATTTTCTGTTCCTTTAGTTGCCCTCACAAAATGCGATTGGAAACTCTTAAAGGAAAACAGCTCCTTAGACCTCAGAGTAGCTGTGCCCCCTTGACAGTGGTCTGACAGGCACTGTCATACCCTCACAAATGACTTAAGTCTATGCAAAACATTAGGCTACAGGAAGACCTGCAGGGGACTAAATGAGAAAACGGACAGACTGTCAACTGATTTGTTTGTCGTTAAAAAGTAAAGGACAAGGCCGGGAGTCTTACATGAACAAGCATGAATAACAGCGAGATGAATATTATAGAATCAGCATAACCGAGAATTCATGAACCTGCATATCTGTCGGGAGAGAAATACAGATTA